CTGCACGTCCAGGAAGAGAGCGCGGCCGCCACGCTGGTTTTGCATCTTCAAGAGACGCTCAGAGCCCTCGCGCTTCTCCTCCGCCAACTCGCGGAAGAAGTGGCCCACGCCTTTCAGAGCCACATCGTCGCGGTCGAAATAGTAGCCCTGCGGGAATAGATGGAGGGAACAATGGTTAGCGGGCGGCGATGCCAGGCATACAGGCTCCGCCCTGATTGCCAGACCGAACAAAGAAGGCCGGCGCGTGCGCAGAGGCCCAGAGATACAGTAGGGGAAAGTTGGCTCCCGGGCGTCCAGAGAACTCACCAGAGAGAGGTAGGTGTAGGAGGCCCGCAGATGCAAATTGACCAGGCGGTTGACGGCTGCCTCCACATCGGTGGAATAATTTTGACGAATCTGGGAGCTCATGGTTGATCCATAAGGAACTAACCACACAAAAAAAAGCTGGCTCCAGAAGCAGGAGATGGCCGTGAAGATGGTCCCAGAGATTACAAGTAGAAAAGAATGAGACTGGAAAATTGCCGAAGGCTGAGAGAAAGGTAGTCCCGGGTCTGTTCCGTTCAAACACTGTTGAAGCAAGACACAGATCCAAGGGACCACCTCACGCGCTACGGGAGGCTGGAACGCGGGCGGTTTCTTTTATAGCAACCGGATGCGTGGAGGCGGGAAGCGCATGGAGAGCGGCTGGCCAATCAGCGGTGGGGGGGAGGAGAGGCCCTGGACCAATCCGGAGCAGACCGAAGCCTCAACGCCCACCCCAAGTGGAGAAGTCACGCGCCTGTTGTTCTAGGCTGTTGAGAAAGGAGGAACGGGGGTGGGGGGCCTTTGGGCCGATTTTAGAATTTAGAAGGATTGATTCTTAGTGGGGGGGTGTCTCTCTAGGAGGCGAGAAATTTATAGTAGTGAGACCCTGGGAGGTAATGACCCTGGGGACCTAGGGGTGTCTCAAGAAAGTAAATCAAATTACAGGGTTGTAGATTCTGAGAAAACGGATTTTCTGGAGCCTTCGGTGTGAGGCGAGTGCCTCACACCCCGTCGCCTGGGATTGGCTCTCCAAGAAAAGGTGTCTCTGGATCTTTGTTAAGTTTGGAGATGTGAGATGGGATTGAAAGCTCAGATAGAATAAGATGGAGTTAGGCGACGGCCAAGGTGGTACAGCTGGTTTACATCCTGCCTCACCTTCACCCCATCTCCCGCTTTTTTTTTTAGTCTCACTTTGTC